GGCCGAACGCGGACCCAAAAAAAAATAAAAAAAAAAAAAAAAAAAAAAAAATCTGAAAAAAAATCTGAAAAAAAGAAATGTTATGGAAACAAATAAATTAAACAAGATTTGCCTAAGTATTACATCCAAATTCCTTACCAAATCTGAAATAAAAATAAAATAACGAGAATAAATACTAATAATAAAAATAAATAGAAATAAAAAAAGAATTAAATTTAGTGAGTGCGCGAGCATGTTTTCGACACCGCCATCTTTGGAGATTTTTCATTTTTGTTTGGCATAGCTAAATGCCCTGAAATTTTAGAGATGTGTACTTCACATAATACAAAACGGTCAAAACCCACTAAAATCTTTTGAAAAATAAAATAAAATTATTTAGACCCCGAACTAAAATGAAAACAAAAAGTGAAAAGTGAAAAAAAACGTGGCCGAGCACGTTTTGACACCGCCATCTTAAGTTTTTTTTTCTAAATTGTTTTTTGTGAGTTCTTCATGATGTAACCTACACGTCTATAAATTTTAAAGTCATTCTGCTAAGCCAACAAAACATTACAAATCGTCACAGATGGGGGTGTCAAAATGTGCTCGCTCACTCACTATTTTGTTTTTTTTACTCACTAAAACATTTTATTATTTTTTGAATTTTTTTTAATGAGTTATCGATTATGTAAACTACATATCTGTAAATTTTCAGGTTATTTGTCAATGCCAAAAAATAATTAAAAATCGTCAAAAATGGCGGTGTCGAAAAGGTGTTGGCATACTGACTCGTTTTAATTCTCTTTTTTTTTTTCTTTTTTTTTATCATAGTATTCATTTTTTGTATTTGATTTTTAGTTCAATTTTGGTAAGGAATTTGGATGTAGTGCTCGGGCACATGATGTTTAGTTTATTTTTCTCCATAACATATTGTTTTTTCGGATGTTTTTGATTTCTTTTTGTTTTGGGTTGCCGGTGTTCGGGACGGGCCGAACGCCCGAACCCGAACCTTCGGGCGTTCGGGTTTGGGCGCCCACTATATATATAGGGTTCGGCAACACTATATATATATATATATATAGTCGGCCCGTCCCGAATTCGTCGAGAATTAAATTATTGAGTGGGCGAGCACATTTTTTTACACCGCCATCTTTGGCGATTTTTTATTTTTTTTTGGCTGTGACAAATTCCATGAACATTTATGTATATGTATCTTACATAATAGAGAATCTACATACAAAGTTTGAAAAAATAATAATTTT